CGCAGCCCTTGTTACTGAGTTTCCTTGAGGCTTGGCTTGAGAGATGGAGAAGAGAAAAAAAAATCTATTGTGACAGACTCCCAGAGCTCTCCACTTTGGTTCTCTCTTTATAACAATGGTGTGAATGTTGAGTCACCATCCTTGCAAAAATAACAAAACAATGCTCACAAAATTGAAGATACTTGATTTGTAGTAACACAAATCTTACTGGAACCGAAGTCCAAGACTCTTAAGCTGGGCTAGCATGACAAGATTACTCATGAATTTGTTTGTCTGACTGGCTGCCTCTATTTTTCTCTCTCATATACAGTTTATTTATTTTTTCTGGAATTGCACATCACAAAGATAAAATACATTCCACAGACACAAAAATAGTCTCAGGAAAAGGTGAAGACAATATGGAATTTTTTTTTTCGTACTGCATTTGTGTTACTGTTTGTTATTGTGTTTTCACAATAAATGTAATGTGTCAATTTCTAATAATAGGCTTTCCATAGAAGTTGCCAGAAATCATGTGTTGGAAGGAAGCATATTCGGATTGAAAAGAGCCAGAGATAGCAGATCAGAAAGAGAAAGAGACAACCTGCCTTTGGTAACCTTTACATGGATAAATTGGATGGTATTTTATGTATTAACTATAAAAATGTATTAATTATATCTTAAATTTGCTAACTAAAAAAATCACAATCAATTTTATAGTATTTGTGTGTGTGTGGTGTATGCATGTGCTTCTGTAGGTACGTGCAAGTATGTGGAGGCTAGAGGTTGCTGTCAAGTTGTTTCCTTGTTAACTCTCTTATTATCTTTAGAGATAGAGTCTTTCAGTGAACCTGGAGCTCACTAATTAAGAGAGACTTACTGGTTAGTGAGCTCTAGGGATCCTTCTGTCTTGACATCCTCGGCACTATGATTTCAGGAACACATCAAGAGGCCCAGCTGATTATGTGGAAGTCGTCGAGGCTCTAAACTCAGATTCTCAGGCTCATGTGTCAAAAGCATTTTAGAGGCTGAGCCAGCTACTCAGCCTCAAATTAAGTAAAATAATTTCTGTCCACTGTCCTTGGACATTTTTAATGTGTAATGATTTTAGAGATGAGAACGGTGTGTTTTAGATTTTGTTCTGAGAGGTCAGCTCAGGGTAGGTAGAGTGCTCTGGGTGAGTAGCATCGCAGCTTGGATGAAGAGCGCTTGAGAAGGGGGCTTGTGGAATTTCAGTTCTATACCTTCTTACGGCGATAAAGGTGGATGGAGGGTCTTGGTGATGCCAGGACAGTTTCAATTGGTATGCTGGGTTAAGGGACTAGGCCTTAAGCAGAAACTCAAGCATACAAATGTATTATGTATGGGCTAATGCTGGTGTGCTTGGGGCACTCTGTCTGAGCAGGGTGGGCAGTAGTACATGTGACTGCATGTGAGATCCATGTAAGTTTGGCCTGGTTAAAGGGTTGTTGGGGCAACAGAGCTGATCTAGATGGTGGACAAGGTATTAATTCCTTCTCAGAAGGGTTAAGTCCACCGAGACTCCAGATCCTATGTCACCTGTGGGTTACTCATTTGATTCTTAAGACTTTACTAGGATGTGTCTTGGACTCCAGCTGTGTAAAAGGGAGAACAAGACTTTCAAGATTGTCTTCTTCCCTACATCTGTTTAATACAATACTATTTGTTGCAATGAGCAAAATAAGGGCTGCAGACACAAAGTCCACAAAACAGCCTCTGTTCTGAGAAGCTGATAGTCTGGTAAGGGGAGGACAACTCATAAGCAGACCATTTCCAACAGAATGACCATACCCACATTCCTTCAGAGCTGCTCAGCACTGTGTGGTCAGGCTGGATTACAAGGCAAGCTTCTGGGAAATCCTATTGCTGTGGTCAGAATATATGTGCCCTCCCCAAATTCAGTTGTAGAAACTTAATATCCAATGTAATACCTCTGAGAATCGTGGCCTCTAGGAAGTGAGTAGGCCACAAGGGGTATAGCTTGGCGATGGGTTTAATGCCATCTGTATTTCTGTCATGTAAGACACAGCAAGAAGCTGCCACCTCTATACAGTAGAAAGTCATCACTTGAACACTGGCTTCCTGTCTTTAAGAACTGTGAACAGTGGCTTTCTTTTGTTTATATACAGTATTCTATTTAAGAAAGAGACCAAGATACCAATTTAAGACCACATATATCACAATTTAAACACAGAGACTAAATTTTTATTGAATATCACTTAATATTGCACAGAAATCAAAACACTTACACTACACAACCGTTACTCAAATGACAATGATTTTCTCGGGTTGACAGTTACATTTCAGAACAAGGTCTTACAATCACACATAATGTAAAAAAAAAATGTCTTCAGTTAATGCACTTCATCACATCTTCTCTGGTAAAACATCTTAGGTTGGGCCAGCAATGAACACATTCTTTTCATGAAAACTGGAATTTTGATGTTACGATTTTAAGATTTTCCATGGCATTTTTATTTTGTAGTGTGACATTTTGAATACAAATGCATAGTGATGGACAGTTCTGATAGGTGGGATTCTATACAGGTGTGAACAATGTGCTGTTTAAAAACCACACTTAAATCTTTTGAAGTAAGTAAAATGGTGAGTTCACTTTGTCACCGTGTGAGTAAAGTGTGTTGCATGAATTGATTTTATTATATGTGAGGTCACATAATATAGTAGGAAGGCAACCCTGGGGTCGTGGTTAAACTCTATAACTCAATATTCAAGGCAGTCAGAGAAGTCATACTCTCTGGAGCTCATTTGCCACATTTGTATAAAAGGAAAAAGGATTTCTGAGGAAAGGGCCAAAATTAGATTGAACAATCCCACAAATTCCTCATAGCAAAATTTAATTATTTTGAGTGAAGGGCATTTAAATTTAAAATGGAGAATTGGGTAAAATAAATCATAGTCATATTTCACTTTTTTATTTTTGAAACAGGGTCTCACTGTGCAGTGTTGGCTGGCCTGGCAGTTGGTATGTAGACCAGGCTGACCTCAAACTCAGAGATCTCTGCCTCTGCCTCCTGAGTGCTAAGATTAAAGGCGTGTGCCACCACACCCAATTTATGTTTCACTTTTGAACCAAGCATTTTAATACTGTCCTCCATCTCCATAGGAAAACTCCTATCTCTGAATCCATTTGTACTTCTAACATTAGGAATTTCTGTTGAAACATTTTTTTTTTAAGAGTTAAGGAAGTACAACCCCAACTTTACCTACGCTCTGTAACTTGGCAATTTAAGTTGGAACTCAATTCTATCTTTGGCAGCAGAATCAACTTTTTTTTTTAAGATTTATTTATTTTTCTTTTAGGTGTATAAGTGTTTTGCTTGCATGTATGTCTATGCACCGCTTGTGTGCCTGCACAGAGGCCAGAAGAGGGCGTTGGATTCCTTGGAACTGGAGTGACAGATGGATGTGAGCCACCGTGTAGGTTCTGGGAGCTGGACCAAGACCATTACAAGAGCAACAGGAAGTGCTCGGAAGTGCTGAAGCTATCTCTCTAGCTCAGCAGTATTTTTACCAATATTTTATGAAATTAAAGAATTGCATGTAATTGGAGACCTTGTAAGTACTGATGGCTAAGTACTGAGGGCTTGCAAAGTAAGTTTTATCTTTCTTAGGACTTTTTTTTTTCTTCTTCTTCTTTGAGCTACTGAAAGACTCATCTAGAACAGACTGCTGTGAAAGCCGGGACAATAAACTGTTATCTGAAAGCAAAACAAAACAGAAGCCTCTAAATTGGCAAGAAAGAGCATTTAATGAGTCTGTAATGTAAGAGCAGGAAGCAGGCGATGGACAGGGGGCTCTTAGTTACCATTTCTGCTCTGGTTGTTTCTTATAAAAAAATCACTGGGAGGAGAGGAGGGAGGGGGCTACAATAGAATGTAAAGTGAATCAGTCAGTCAATCAATCAATCAATCAATCACTTGGTAAGGAAAGGCCTTAGGAACTTGAGCTTTGCAATTTTCCTGCCCGTTATCTTGTCATCACATTGAGGATGCAGTAGCCAGTCATTAGATTACAGCACGGAAAATCAGATAGAGGAAACTAGAAGAAATTGCATTCTTTTTGAGAAGCTGTCATTCCAAGAGAAAACTCTAGTTAGTCACAACTACTTCTTCCTCCACGTTGCAAACAGATGGGTTTTACTAGGATACCCAAGAGACCTCCTCTCGGATCAGAAGGATCAGAAGGCAGGGGCTGGGGAGCAAATTCCTTGCAATGTGAAAGCAGGCAGCTTGGGAGACTCCACCCGCACTGGGATCTACACATGTCCCTGAATCGCACATAGGTGAGTGCAGGTGATGGACATGCAAGTGGGGCCCAGAACTTGGGGTTTTTTCTCCTTTAGCTCTTGCTAGAGTCTTCTGTGAGCAGAGGCCTCCTCTTACGTGTCAGTGTGCAAAACTGCCCTTTAATCCCCGCTTGCTTGCTCCCTATTAATTGACCAATTAGGACATCTTTAAAGCTGAAAGATGAGCCTGGGGTTTCTTTTCCAGACATAGGAGCACTAAGAGGTCCTCCAGTCCAGCCAGGTATCCTTCCCAACACATCACCAGGCCAAGAGTCCTAAGAGACTCTGACCTTTTTTGGAGCTTTTGCCACCCTTCCCTCCTCTCAGTGTTCCAGGGAACCCCCTTCCCTGCCTGCAGTGACTGGAGGCCCCTTGGGTCCGGTCACAGAAGTCAATGCCCTGGCTCAGGAAGCTTCCTGCTGGGCCGCTAAAGGATTCGCAGCCAGCAGCCGGGGCGCGGGGCGGGGCGGGTCTCCGCGCGCCAGCGGGCCCAGGCGAGCACTATTCCTGTCTCGGTGAGCTACCGGCATGTTATGTGCAGCGCCCAGTCACGCTCCCAACCCTCTACGCTGACCGGCGCTCCCTCCAGTGCCGCAGACTTTGATTTGATCCTCCTCACGGAGCAAGCTCACCCCCCCCCCCCCCAGGCCCCTAGCAGTTGCCCTTGGACTGCACGGGTGTCCACAGACCAGATTCTAAGGCTCCTTGTTCAGAGTCATCATCCTGCACTCCCGGGGGCACTTACAATAGGGCCACATCTGCGCTGTCTGGCCTGTTGGAGATCCAGCACCCTCGACCTCTCCAGGTGATGGTGCAGGCCACCGCCGCTCCTGGTGTGCAAGTGTGGGCTCCCCAAATTGTGTAGCGGAGAGGGCTTTGGGCAACGCGTTGTCAAGCTCAGCAACGGCTGGAACCAAGCCTCGCAATATTGGGAAGACTCTGAAATCCACACCCTCTGCTACTAGAGACTTTTGGAAATCGTCTCCAGATCTTAAGTTGTCTGAGAGGGGCACGGAGCAACTGCCGAATCTGGATGAAGGAAACTATGTTTTAAGCTGAGCAGACAAAAATCAGCCTTTGCTAGGGGCTCTGCAGCTGGATAGTGGAGGTGGGGGTTTTGAGTCACTGGGATGTCTCCAGCTGTTCCTGGCTGGCTCCATCCCAGCTTCCCGCCTTGGGCGTCATGAGTTACTTCCTGTCTTACTGCAAAACTCACGGCAGCTCTCTCCTCACCGGCTACCAGGCCCTACGTGCTGAGGGTTTCTTGTGTGATGTGACACTGGAGGCTGAGGGCAGTGAGTTCCCAGCGCACAGGTCACTTCTGGCATGCTCCAGCGACTACTTTAGGGCCCTGTTTAAGGGTCACACCCAGGAATCAAGGGCTCCTGTAATTCACCTGCATGTGCCTTCTGCAGCCGGCCTACAGCGCCTGCTGGACTTCATCTACACTGCCTGGCTTCCCCTCTCCTTGGACACCGTGGAGGACACTCTGGAGGCTGCCAGCTACCTGCAAGTCACCGAGGCCTTGGGGTTGTGTAGCCACTACCTGGAATGCCATCTTGCCCCAGAGAATTGCTGCTTTACTGCCAATGTGGCTGCTCGCTTTGGCCTGGCCCGCACTCTAGGTGCAGCTGAGCGCTACATAGTGCGCCACCTGAAGGAGCTGTTTCTGATGGGCACTGGCCCCTCGGGGCTGCTGGAACTCAATCCTATATCAATGAAGGCTGTGCTGGGTGCCCCCGACGTGGCACGGGTGACTGAGACGCAGTTGCTGGGCCTGACACTAGCCTGGCTGAGGCAGGAGCCTATGACCCAGCGCCTGGCACACAGTTCAACACTGCTTGGATGTATCCACTTTGGCCTGGTGCCTGCTGGTGTGCTGCGGCGCGTGTACTCCGGGTCTGGCCTTACATTACCTACTGGGATCAAGGGCCTCATCATCCAGGCCCTCAATTACCACACAGCACCCTCCCGCCAGCCGCTCCTGCAGGGAGAACAGACTAGTGTCCGGAGCCCCCAGACCCGCATCTTGCTGGTTGGTGGTCTCAGGGCTAGGGAGACAGTAACTGAGGAAATCCTGGTCTTACCGGAGGTAGTTCGAAATCGGCGCCCTGCCCCTGAGCCAGAGGAAGAGGAGGGAGAGGAGGAAGAAGAGATGGAGGAAGAGAAGGAGTGGGAGCTCACCCAGGATGTAGTGTCCTTCGATGTATACAACCACAGCTGGCGCAGCCTGACACGGCTGCCCACACCACTGCTAGGCCACAGTGTATGTACCACTGGCAACTTTCTATTTGTCCTTGGAGGGGAGAGTCTTTCTGGTAGCCCATCTAGTTCCCTGGCTGATGGCCCAAGGCCAGTCACGGCCTTAGTGCACCGTTATGACCCACGCTTCCACACCTGGACAGAGGTGCCTGCTATGAGAGAAGCGAGGGCCTACTTCTGGTGTGGTGTGGTAGGAGAGTGTCTCCTGGCCGTTGGAGGCCTGGGCACCTGTGGTGAGGCGCTGGCCTCCGTGGAGATGTACGACCTTCGCAGGGACAGCTGGATGGCAGCTGGGGAGCTACCTCGGGCACTGCATGGTCACGCGGGTGCTGTCGGGGACCATGGTGTTGTGTACATCTCCGGGGGCAAGGCCGGCACTGGTGAAGGAGGCACTAGTAGCCTCCGGGATATGTATTCCCTTAGCCCCGGAGAGAAGGTGTGGAACAAGAGGGCACCCATGGGCACAGCTCGCTATGGGCACCACCTTGCGGTGCTGCGAGGTGCAGTGTTTGCCTTTTTGGGAAGATATGAGCCCTTCTCTGAGATTGAACGCTATGATCCCAGCACAGACCAGTGGACTCGGTTGAGGTCACTACCCTATGACCGCTTCTGCTATGGACTCGCTGTGGTAGAAGAGACAGTGCTGCTGCTGGGTGGTCTCAAGTGGCGGGACTCACGCCAGGTCCCTACCCGTAACGTAGTAGGTTATGACCTTGACTTGGACCGTTGGGAGGACATAGGCTGTGTGCTTCCCTGGCCATGGAGTGGCCTTCAGTGTGCAGTGCTGCAGCTGGCGGAGGGTTGGGAGGAGACAAGGGAGGGAAAGCCTGAAGAGGTGCTAGATTTCGTGCTGAAGTGAACAGGTGAGCACGGTTTTCAGAGGATTGAAGGGAAAGTTGTTCTTGACCTTGTTTGTAGAGCAATGTTTTTCCCCTAAGAATTGGGACTCTGATAGAGCTCTTCTGAGGGGTGAGGAGGCAAACAAGGCCTTGACCAAAGAGTAACTCTTCCCCTTCAACTGCAAATGGCAGTCAGGAATCGTGAGGTGCAAAGATATGAATCAGCTTTAGTTGATTGAAGAGTTTTCAGAAAGACAGACTCGTCCTGGTCTAGAGTTGGACTTTTGAAAATAGGAACTTATTTCCCTCCCTAAAGCATTTTTCAGGTACCTGTGAATACTTTTGTTTCCCCTCCAAAAAAAAAAAAAAGTACAGCTAGTTGCACACAAACCACTGAAAACTGTTGGCTTTAGCAGCTGTAATGATAGTCCCAGAAGACCTGATGAAATTGTGAAGGTGTGCGTGCGCGCGTGCCTGCTTAAACAGCATGGAATGGTTTGTGCGGAGAAAAATGATTTTTATGGTGCAGAGCCGTGGTTATAGTACTGTTCGGACAGTTTAATATTGATATGGAACTGAGAAGGAAAAAAAAATTTCAGAAAAAGCATTTCTTTGAGAAACTACTCCTAGGTCATTTTTTCTCCCTGTCCCATCCCCATCTGCTTTTACACTGGCTTAGGGGCAGCTTATTAATTTAGACATATTTTAGCAACACTTAGCCACAATATACTACATCCGTGAGTAGAAAATTAGCTTATTGTTGGTGGACTCCCCTTATGTCCCCCCCCCCAAAAAAAAAAAAGAATGAGTAGGTGAAGTTTTCATAGTTCTGTCAGGTCAATGGGATGACAGCTTGAGGTCTCAAGGTCTCAGAGGAGCTCTTGGTAAGCTCTGAACAGGTGTTCCCTCTGGCTTGTGCTATTAGTGAGGTGGCAGAGTGCGAACTTGTGACTGGGGAGGTGGTAGTAAGGGTGGCTGGGTGATTAGGTCACAGAGAAATGTGGTAAGCCCTTTGCATGAAGAAAGTAGAAAGTAGGTGCCTTAGAAGGATTCATTAAGAGCTGAGTTTATTCGACTTCAGTTTACACTGCTGCCTCTCTCCGAGATTTAAAACTAAATGCAATAGAATGTACAGATAGATAGTGTTAAAAGGTTTCTTTCATGCTAGGCTAGTCACCAGTTTTATAAAATTCATTAATTTAATTTTGACCAGTAAAATAACAGCTGACTTTACAAAATTAGAAGCTGCTTACTAGCAACAGAGCTAGTCTTCCCACCAACTGCTTGTTATTTGCAGGCTGTTTGTCCACTCTACACGTGATATGTCCATCATGTACAAATATTTTTAAGTGAAGATACACATTGGTCTAGTAAACATCAATATGCCTAAACAACTGTAACAAGCACACTTCATTTTACGACAAGAGGGTTTTTGTTTGTTTGTTTGTTTTCTCTCTCTTACATATATAAAATCCCACAAATTTAATGTGTGTCAATAACCATGCAGTAAATAAATGTTTTTACAAAGAGGGTATTTTAAATAATAAAAATATTACACTGGACCCAAAATTCCATACAAACATTAATGCGTGTTTCTCATCCATTCTGACTAAATATAGGATTACTGAAAATGTGCTGTAGAAAGGCCACTCTCCTGTACAGTTGTGCAAAGTCTGCAAAACGATAGTGATTTAATGTGATTTCAAAAGCAAAGAAAAAGATCCCACTGTGTAGTTTTTACTTTCTTCTCTACAGCAAAAATATTCACTGGCATATATCTGAACTCTTAGAAATGTAAGTACATTCACTGAGCTGTACAGGCAACAGGATAAAGCTAATCAGAAGTAGATTTTAGGATATAGAATAATAAAGGAGGGTCTTTTCCTCCCGAAAAAACAGCAAATTGTGACTTGTACATTATGCAGCCACACACTAAAAAGCAGCAAGTCACTTTCATGCTGTGGTCACTTTCCAAAAACTAGACACGCAGAAATGGCAATATATGAAGAGGACTTTTTCATAGACTCCACCCATTCTATAAACAATTCAGGACTGTAGGAAAAACCTCTAAGTGTTTGATCTCAGGTCACTCAATGTCATAACTCCCTGAATGGCTGGAATCCTCTGTTCCTTAGTAGAGAAGCCCATTAACGTTGTTCAACATTGTTTTCTCTATTGAAACTTCTACCGGCCATGTCTAAATGTATTTTACTTTCCCATTTGATGTATAATTACAGAAGTTTTTTTTTTTTAACAGATCAAGGGTAAATTGGAAACTTCCTGGAAATTTCATTTCAGTGTATACCTAGTCTTTTAAAAGTTAAGAGTTCAAAAAACATGAGTTTGGGCTGAAATTGTGTGTGTGTGTGTGTGTGTGTGTGTGTGTGTGTGTGTGTGTGTAGCTATTAGCTGCCTTTCTGGGTGAATTAAGTCTGTTTTAAAAAATCCATTCTTAAATTCTTCTGTACACAATCAGCATTTCGTCACTACAAAAATAAAGGAAGATTTAAACCAAGAAAATAAAGCAGCTCTATCTTCAATTTTAGTCTTAGTTACAAAAACATCTTACAAAGCTTTGCCCTGATACACCATGCAGTGGTTCTCATAGATTTGGAATAGTACCTCCATTAACCAGTTAGCACAAGTTAATAGATGATTAAGACGGATATTAGCTACCTGAACTTTTCTTATGCTGATGCTCTTCTGGTTTGCTTAACTCTTCTATACGCACCTACATTTCACAAAAATAAAACTACAGCATTAAACTTTGTGCAATGTTTAAGAAAATTCTTAGAACATTTTAATAAATATAAAAAGGTTTAAATTCTTTCCCACCCACAAGGATATCTGCACCTGGAAAAATTGTGATTTACATCTGAAGTTTCATTTATATAAAATTAACTTAAAGGGAGAAAAGATGATCTCAGATAGAAAAGTGCCTTTTTGTGGTTTTTCTACTTGACGATCACCTATATTCAGAATTGTTTGCAAAAGTTAATTTAAGTCATTAAAGATAGTTGATTTTGCACATGGTAAACATAAGCTGAGCACTGACTGCATATAAAACATACAAAAGCTCTTTAAAGACAGTGGTAATGTGACCATGTATGCTCTGTTTCATATAGTTTGGTAACATTAAAGTATAGCTTGTCAAGTGTCTGACACATCGAGAAAAAACTACCTTATGGACTTGTTCAGAGTACCAGCAGGTACTAGATGGCCTTGAGTTGGAATTCACTTACACATGCGTCTCAATGTATGAATGAGTATGTGTTAGAGAAGTGATAACATCTACTTCAGAGGAAATACTTTGTGGGTCATTTGAGGTGGTGTTTTGACAGATATCCAAGAAAAGGTCGAGGTACATCTGCTTCCATTGTTGGAATTCTTTAGATGTCAAGTCTGGATTGTCTAGGACTTTATCAATAATGGCCACTTCCCCTTCTCTGGCCTGAAAAGCAAAAGAATTCAGTAGTTAAGATGGGGGTGAACTTCTATCAAAAGTTGAAACATGTTAATGTGCCAATGAATTCAGAAGCCTCTTAGAAACAGATTTGACATACTCACATTCAGTTTAGACTAGGATCACAGTGTATCTTTTTCCTAATTCAGTGGCATGTCTTGGATTGCTTGTATGTAACTTTTTATTCTTGGCTGTTCCTACTTACCATCTCTGCTTATGAAAACCTTCAAGTTTTAAGATAGAACTTAAAAGTCTCTCGTTTCTTCAAACCTTCCTTAAACACTCAAAGAGAGAGTTTTTTTCCTCTATGATGTCTGTGTAACATCCTGTCTGTGCCATCAAATGGACTTATCACCTCTTGAGTTACTCTGGAACTTGTCCTGCCTTTCCTTCTTCATGGTAAACTCCTCATGTTCCAGTGAGAGTAAACAGGGCCTCCTGTTGCTGTAAACACAGAACACTTGCCCTGTGACTATAAAGGATCCCTCCCAATAGCACTTGGACCTATAATGAACAATGCTTCTCCCTTCATAATGGATGGCTAGGCTTCAGCTGGCAACTAAGCTTCATTTTGGTTTAACTCTCAATGGTACAGCTATTAACTGTAGAACAAGAGGATTTCTCTTGAGGAAGGGTGAAGATACTTTGAGAAAACCAGCCTTGTCTTTCATAGATCTAACAAAGGGCTGAAAGAGCCCTGAAAATGTTCTGCAGGAGGGAAAAGCATAGCTCTCCATCAGAATTGGGAGGAAAAGAAGTCAACAGTGAGCCTAAGAAGTGGCTAGGGTGAGTGAGGAGCCAAGATATTAAATAGGTAGACTGACGATGCTGGAAGTTGCCTATGGAGGGATCTAAGATCTATTCTTGGGAATGTTTAGTTGTTCCTCTGTAATGGAAGATTTTATAATCTACTATTTTCCAGGCCCTCAAAATACTCCATCATTTTTTTTTTTTTAGCTAGCAAGGGGAACTTAAAAATTTTTTATTAGTAACTTTTGTCATTATCTTTCTGTGTCCTAGAACAGCAGAAGAGTCAAACACGGCTCATTGATTGATGGTGACTCTTTGCTTCTTCTTAAACTCAACATTTACAGAGGCTCATAATCTAGCCGTAGGACAAAAATATTGTAGGTTATTTACAGAACATAAAAGATGAAAAAAGAGAGAGAAGAAAAAGCAGAAGTAAGAAGGGAAGGGAAAAGGAGAGAGAGAGAAACATACAAGAACCAGGTATTTAAGATATTCATATATGGCAAAAAGGTGAGGGACACAAATGAACTCAATATTACTCCAGGCTTTTTGTCTCATACTGCTTAGTTTGGACACTTTTATCTTATTTGTCTTTTGCTTATATATTTTGGTTTCAGATTTTGTGTTTCTCTCGGTTTGTATGTTTCTTGTTTGTTTTTCAGAGAGAGAGAGAGAGAGAGAGAGAGAGAGAGAGAGAAATAATGTGGAATTGAGTGGGGAGGATCTGGGAAAAGTTGGAGGAGAGGAAAAGCATGATCAGAGTAAGTTGTGTAAAAATCTCGACAAAAGAAGGTAAAAACCAAACTAAGGTAGGAAGGTTAGGATATCTTTGGAATA